TGTACCTCTGGGATTGCACTGCAGCTTCTTGTCATGAGGCCACCAGAGCTCACCACAATCTGCTTTTTTAAAGATACAGTCTTGGGAACTCTGCGGGGCAGCTGGGCTCTGTCCTACCGCACTGCTATGAGTCAGGCGTGACTCGATGGCTGTGCATTTGGATTTGGTTTGAGGCCTCGGTGGAGACACTGAGTAGCAGAAATGATTGCATCTTTGACTAGTAACTGAAAGGCTGCCAGTTCACATTCACCCTGAGGAACTTCAGAGGAAAGGTCTCACAAAGAGTGAATTCCAAAAACACCAGAGGGCCCATGAAGAATATGTTCCTTAGGCCAATCTCCCACATGAGACCAAAGAGGCAGCATATGCCCAGAAAATCCCCTCAGAGGCAGGAAGCGATAGAAAGGAGGATGAAAGGAAGCAGGAAACACAGGGAGGAGACAGGAAGAGTGCCGTTCTGGGGAAGGGACGGCAGCTAATGTTCCGATCCAAGTGAGAATTCACTGTTGGGTGTGGACTGAGTTTGCACCGTAAGCTTTCACCCAGACTACAATAAAACAAGAACAAAAGTGTATGGAGCACAGTGTTGGGACACACACGGGTCACCGTGGGTCAGCACCGTGTGGTCTGTCTGGGATCTTGAGAGGGGGTCTGAAGGAAAGATGCTGTCCAGCAACGAGGAGGCCACCCTGTGTTTACAAACAAGTGCACAGGGTGTCCACTTCCGGCCTGAACTGTCCCAGAGGCCACAAGTGCAGCCGCGTGGTGAACTCTATCAGAGTCCTGGCCCAGAGTCCTTCAGTGGCCCCAAGAGCCGCTGAAGCAAGACCACAGCAGGTGAGGACACAGGTGTGGGGCTCCCCAGCTGTCACAAGTGACATGTGTTTAAGAGAAGGTTAAAAGTCCCTTTCTTCCTTTAGCCCTGGTGGCATAGTGATACAGGTTAAAATGCTTGACTGCTGTCCTCAAAGTCAGAGGTTCAAATCCACCAACACCGTTCAGGAGGATACAGCACTCTGCTTCTGGAAGTATTTACAGCTCAGGAAACCTGCGGGCAGTTCTCTCTGCCCCACAGGGTCACTGTGAGTCAGAGCCGACTCGAGGCAATGGGGCTTGGTCTCCCTCCCGGACCCGCGACCAGAGACGGTGGCAGCGGAGGTCGAGATAAACCGTGCTGCCCGCGAGGCACCTGGGGTAGGTGGCTAGGGTTGGGGGGATCACCAGTGCTGGTTCCACGTCTTTTCCAGGCCTCAGAAATACAGTGAGACCAGCAAAAGTTGGAGCATACAGAATTTCACCAACAGAAGAAGTCGGATAGTGTTTAAGATTCTACCCTGTGAAGGGTGGAACATTTGGGAGAGGCCGTCCTACTGGCTTCCAACTCTCACAGGATCCACCCTGTTCACACTGATCAAGCCTTGCAGGGGGTGGAGCAGTGTCCTCATCACGAAGCATGGGGCTGCTAACTGAAAGGTCAGTGGTTTGAAGCCACCTGCTGCACTTCAGAAGACAGAGGAGACCGTGGGACTGAGCTCCCTGAAAGCCAAAGGGGCAGTTCTGCTCTGTCCAACAGGGTGGAATGGACTGGAGGCCGATTAGCAGGCCAATTCCTCTGATCCTCACCGTAACCTCACAAGGTATTACTGTCTTACGTCCTCACTTGAGGGCTGGGGAAACTGAGGCCCAAGGAGGCCAGGTGACTTGCCCAACATCACAGAGCCCAACGTGGGCACGGCTGGCTTTGCAACCATGCTGTTTCTCGCCACAGTTCCTTCTCCTAGGAACCCTGGCAGGAATCATATTGGGGAGGAGGGGGTATTTTCTAACACCCAGTAGGATCTCAGAAATGTCACCTAACTCTAGGAGTTTCGTTTCCTTCCTGACCCCCAGAAACATGGGCCCAGAGGACAAACACAGAACCCTGCCAGCACTGCCCCTTCACGACCTCAGCTCTGCCCTCTGCTGCTGTTGCGGACACAGCGCTGGCAGATGACCCTGGGAAAGTGCTGATCTGACAAAGCACGCACTACGTGGGAGCCTGCCAGGGAGGTTCAGAGAGGCCAGCTCCGCTTCCTGGGGTCGCACAGCACACCAGAGCCAGAGCAGGCACTGAGGTCCTCTCAAGGAAAGGCGTTCCCCTCCCAGTCTCCGTCTCAAGGATCTACCAGAGCCGACAGGGCTGAGGTCAGGCCGGAAACCACATGTTCCGGTCTTCCCCTTCCCTAGACACCTTGACTGAGTGTGAGGTCAGACGACGATGGGTCTCCCAGGGCGGAGACTTCCAAATCAGCCCCTTCCCCAAACAGGTGGGAGGAGGCAGAATCACCACTACTGGGCTGGTGCAGGGGGGTTACACACTCAGCTGCCAACCAAAAGGTGGACAGTTCAAACCCACCAGTCGCCCCTCAGGAGAAAGAAGTGGCAGTCACCTTCCATCAAGATTACAGCCTCTCGGAGTTCTGGTGGCCAGATGCTCTGCTGGAGAAGGAGGGGCAATCTCCTCCTGTACCAATCAGATCTGACTTGAGAGTATACACACACACACACACACACACACACACACACTAAAAATAATAAAAAAAATATTACAGCCTCAGAAATCCTACAGGGGACCTCTACCCTCTCCCATAGGGTCCTAATGAGCTGGAACTCACTAGATGATACTGGGTTTGTTTTTTGTTTTGAGGGGGGCTGGGAATCCTTTGCCACTCAAGTGGGACAAATCTTACTTCCCCACTGTGACCCTTGGTATCTTCATAGGTACCATGACAGGACTGTGGGGACTCCAGATAAAATCAAGGAGGGTTGACACTACAGGACACTATTACGAAGGAGGAGGGGCAGGAAAAGCAAGCTGTAAATCTGAACGGAGAGCCTGGGGCTGGGTCAGCTCTGAGGTCACACAGGGGACTCTGGAGTAGGGTAAAGAAAAGGACCTGGACAGGGTAAGATTACCCAGTTCTCAGGGTAAACTGGGACCACCTCGTGCTTACTCACTGATCTACAGTGAACCATGTCACCCCTCAGAGATCTAGGGATCACTGGCATCACCCTCTAGCCCCACAGCCTCCTTCCTCTGGAACCAGAGCCTCTCCCCAGGTTGACCAGGGGGGCAGGCGAGGACCTGGTAAGCAAGGGAAGCATGTGGTGTGTAGTGATGTGTCTCAGGGTTTCCACAGCATCAGAGGCTGGGTGAATCCCACGTGACACTGTCACACAGATAAGTCAGTATAAGAAGTCCGTGTTTACCTTGCTTGGTGGAGACCCCACCTTGTACCCGGAGTCTTTCTGGGCAACCTCGGGCTTATTTATGAAGGAATAATAGATAAGTTTTAACATGTATCACCTCATTTCTTAAACCCTGTGTGGCCCACCTCTACTACCTTTTGCCAGGTGAGGAAAGAAGGCACAGAGAGGTTAAGTAGCTTGTCCAAGGTCACACAGCCAGGACACAACAAAGTGGGGCTGGAACTCCAGTCCGACTCCACGGTGGACAACAGAGGGCCAGGGGCCTCTGCAAGTGTCTGTACTGACATGTGTGCCCCCAGAGTGTCCCCGAAGCCTTAGGGACCCTGATTCTCTGCAGACCCACTGCGCGGATGGGCAGGACCGAGGCTGCTGGCCACCCACCTTCTGGTGCTTGCGCTCCTTCTCGATGCGGTCCATCCTCTCCAGGCGCAGCCGGTCTAGCTCCAGGCGCAGCTCGTCCATCTCGGGCGCGACATGGTGGCGGCTGACCAGCACCTCGAGGATCTCCAGGACGCGCACGACCTTGGGCATGAGGCGCGCGATGGCCTCGCAGCCGTGCTGGTCGATGACCCGCTCGAACTCGTGGCCCACGAGCGACGCGATGTCGTACACGTCCATCACGGTCAGCTCGGCCACGTTCTTCTCCAGCGCCGACT